AGCAAGACTTAAGAATGCTACCCTACAGAGGTTCTCCCCTACAGGCTCCTCCAAGCTCCCACTCCCAAATAAACTTACAGTCTCAGTGAAAATACTGCTGTTGTTATACATAGTCTCATGACAAGCCACCTAGCTCCTCTCCAACTAGATTGCTCCCCCTAAGCTCATCCTATATAGAAACTCTGGAGCTGCTACTGGCCTCTGGGTATGTGCCACATTGTCTTCTGGAGGAGCTGGGAGGAGATGCTATGAGTTTGTTAGGGTGTTACATAGGGAAGGATCCCTTTCTCACACAGTAATGGGATTCCTGGCTTGACCTAGTCTTGGCATTGTAGCTGAAGGAGGAGGAGAGGACAGTGGGGAGAAATACAGTGATGGAAAATTGTAGAATGCAACAGGCCCATGAAAAGCCTTCCTGCTGAAGAAGGGGCTGGAAGTAACATAATGGTCTTCCATCTTCAGACCATGATTATATTAAAGCCAGACCTGAAAAGAGTTCCCAAAATGGGAGGTAGGAACAAGACCCCGCAACCAAAATCTCAGGGGACCTCCTCTGGAGAGGGAAAAGTGTAGAAGAGCTCTCTTAGCTAACAATCATTAAGTGTGGGCATATCTCAATTGGCATAACAGTTTATAAAGACAATGTTCTACATTCTACCTTGGTCAGTAGCGTCTGGGGTCTTAAAAGCCTGTGAGCAGCTATCTAAGATACTCCACTGACCTCATCTCTTCAGGAGCAAGGGAGAATGAAGAGAACAGGACACAAGGAAAAGATTAGTCTAAAGGAGTAACGGACCACAGCTACCAAGGCCTCCACCAGACTGAGTCCAGTACAGCTAGATGGTGCCCGGCTACCACCACTGACTGCTCTGACCGGGATCATAACAGAGGGTTCTGGACAGAGCTGGAGAAGGATGTAGAACAAAATTCTAACACATATGAAAAAGACCAGATTTACTGGCCTGACAGAGACTGGAGAAACCCTGAGAGTATGGCCCCCAGACACCTTTTTAGCTCAGTGGTGAAGTCACTTCCGACATTCATCTATCAGTGGAGGATTGGACAGCCCCATAAAACAAAACAGGACTAATGAGACACAGCAGTCCAGGAACAAGGACTAGAAGACAGAAGGGGACAGGAAAGCTGGTGATAGGGAGCCCAAGGTTGAGTAAGGACAGTGCTGACATGTAGTGGGGTTGTTAACCATTGTCATAGGGCAACATGTGTACTGTTTAATGAGAAACTATTTTGTTCTGTAAACCTTTCATCTAAAGTGAGAATAGCAGCACAACTGGAAGAACGTAATCGATGTCACTGAACTGTGCATGTAGAAATTTTTGAAATGGTATATCTTTGGCTATGTATATTTTCACCAAAAGAAAAAGGTCGAGAAGGGAGAGGGTTAACATGTCGTGGGGTTGTTAACCAATGTCATAAAACAGTATGTGTACTGACTGTTTAACGAGAAACTATTTGTTCTGTAAACCTTCACCTAAAGTACAGTTAAAGAAAAAAAAAACAACCAAAAAAAAGAGTGGGCATATCTTGAACAGTGTAATCAATGTCACTGAATTGTGTATATAGAAACTGTTGGATTGGTTTTAAAAAAAATTTTTATAGTATATTTGCACCACAATTTTAAAAAATAGTAAAATTAGTACATTTTAATAGTACTCCTAAATAATAATAATAGTAATAATAATAATGAGCGTGTCTTAAGCCAGGAGGAGAGCCTGTGTGATCTTTAGAAGTTCTTATCCACCGACGTCCACAATGATGCTCAGAGACCCTCACTGTCTCCTGGACATTATTCACCCCATCCTCCAACCCCAGTGGAGTCTCTCCTTTGGAAGCATCTAGTTGGCTTGCTACCTGCTGCTAGTTCCTGCCTTTTCATCTGTGACCTCTGGCCCTACATCCGTGTTTCTCTCTTCACAGAGGGTAGCTATTTCTGCTCTTTCAGTAGGGAAGGGCTGGGATGTCTTCCTTTCCCGAGGTCACAGCTGTTGGGCTGGAAGGAAATCAGCTTCCCTCAGGCCCTCTTGGTGTTTGACTCTAGGGATCAGCACAACATAGGGCAAACTACCTGGATGATGCTCATCCATCTCATCCATTCATTCATTCATTCAACACATTTACTGAGTACCTACTATGTGCCAGAGGCTGGGGACACACTAGTGATCAAAAGAGACATAGAGTGTATAGTCTTGTCCCAGTGGCCCTGAGACTTTGAAAGACCCCAAAACCAAGGTCTTCTGTACTCATAGAAATATTTGCAATTATCTATAAGCAACAAATGACTCATATCTGAACTATAAAAAGAACTCCTATAAAGCAACAAGACAGAAAATGGGCAAAATACTTGAACAGAAATCCAAATGGCAAATAAATATATGTAATCAACCTCATTAGTTATCAGGGAAATATAAATTTAAATCACAGTGAGATACCATTACATATCCACTGAATGACTCAAATTAGAAAGACTGGCAGTATGAAATGTTAATGAGGGTATGGAGTAACTGAAATTCTAAGACACTGCTGGTGGGAGTGTAAATTAATATGACCACTTTTGAAAACTATTTAGTAGCATTTACTAAAACTACCTATGCCTACCCTACGACCCAGTAATTCTGTTCCTGCGTATGTATCCAACAGAAATATGAACGTAAGTGCGCCAAAGGACATAAACAAGAATCTTCACAACAACATTATTTGTAATATCCTCCACCTAGGAACAACCCAAATGTCCATCAACAGAATAATGGGTACATAAATTGTGGTAGATTCAGTTAATGGCATACTGTACAGCAATGAAAACGAATGTGCTCCTGCTATCACAACATAAAGATGAGTTTCACAAACATAACATTGGGTGGGATAAGCCAGACACAAAATAACACGTACTGAATGATCCCATTTATATAAAGTTTAAAAACAGGCAAAACTAATCCACGATGTTAGATAGAGGTTAGCTTTGGGAAGGAGGGTGGGTAGTGACTGGGAGAGGATTTGAGGAGCCTTCTGGGGTGCTAGGGAGCCCTGATGGCACAATGGTTAAGCATTTGGCAGCTAACAGAAAGGTTGGCACTTCGAACCCACCTGCTGCTCTGCAGGAGAAAAGACCTGGCGGTCTGCCTAGGAAGCCCTATGGGGACAGTTCTCCTCTGTCCTATAGGGTCACCATGAGTTGGAATCGACTCGACAGCACACAACAACAATCTGGGGTGCTGGTAATGATGTAATTCTTGATCTGGGTAGTGGTTTTTATGGGTATATTCACTAGGGGATAATTTGTCAACCTGTACAATTAAGCTCTGTGCACTTTCCCTTATGTCTGGTATATTCAACTAAAAAAGATACCCACAGGAGATCAAGATTTTACAAATAGGTGGCTGGGCTGTGGCAAGATTAAATGGCAGAGGGAGAGGGGAGTTGCGGGGGTTGGGGGAGGGGGTAGTCTTGAGTGGAGCAGGGCAAAAATTGCCTCCAGTCCCTGACTGAAATGTTTCCAGATACTTTCGCCTTAATTCCCCATCCAACTGCCCCCCTCCCTACTTACAAACCTGATCTTTTTGTGTGGGGCCCAATGTTTCCTGGTCTAGCAACCACACCGTCATTACACAGAAAGACCCAGCGTTTGAAGACAAAATTGGGCTTCTTTCTGTTAAGTCACTGATATTCCCTCTAACGGGTCCTGTGAGGCTGCAGGCCCCTGATGAAAATATCCTAGCAGCTGAGCTGGAACAATCCTAGGGGTACTGGATTGGGGAGGGTGGGGTTTGTTTGTGTTTGTTATCCTCATCGTTGTCCAAAATATTACCTGCTCAGGTTGCTCTGCGTGCTGCCGTGTGTCTCAGAAGGAGGGAAAGGGCGGCCGAAAACTTCCTATCTGGCAGTGTTCTCCCCTCTCCAGGCCCATCTCTGCTCCAAACCCCAACCGGGGTTCTGGAGTCAGGATCGAATGCCCCCTGAGCCACTTCCTTGGAGGAAAAGGGCAGGAAGGAACCATGGTCACAGGTTCCACTGACAAGAGGGGAAAACCTGGGGGTGGGGGTTCCTTTGTGGGGGAGGTCACACACCCTGCACAAAAACATCCCAAAGAGAACTGGTACTGAGTTTGCGTGGCAGAGGTGGAGATACCCCAGGGAGGAAGTAGCAAAGGCGACCACGGGAACACCCCTCTTTGATCCCACAGGTGCGTCAGGGAAAGTTGGATTTCGGTTAGCCCGGGATGGAGACATCTCTCCCCAAGCTGCCACCAGGATCAGTGGATCAAAGGAAGCCAGGCTCCCCTCCGCCCCTACCTCAGGTGATGCGTGTGGGACCCCAGCCGAGAGTCTGACCTCTTTTCCCTCCCACCCGCGCATCTCCACCCCTTTTAAGGCTGGGACTTTATCAGGGCCGGTTCCGTCGCGGCTGAGCCATTTGCTTAGAGGTACGCAGAATCTGGCGGAAACGCGTAGTGGCGAGCCGGCAGAAGAGGAGCTCTGTTCAAGAACAAGGTAGGCACAGTTCTCTCCGGGTACTGAGATCGGGTAAGGAGCACGGGTACGGCTGCGTGAGCCCGCTGGGTTAGAGACAGCCGGCTGGCTGGCTCCACCGGGAGGTTTCTCGGTGTTCTCTAAGGCCAGAGGCTCAAAGGGAACACTCAAGATGCCAGAGAAGACGCGCACAGGCGCACAAGCCCTTGAAAGGCTAGAGAAGCTCCCAGCGCGACAGGGCAGCCCTGAGGGAGGGGACACTGCGCCGTGAGCGTTGGGCAGCGGGACCTCGGGCCACCCGCCGATGGGCGCTGGGACCCGCGAGCTGCCGGTACTGAGGCGGGTTCCCAGTTCCCGTCAGTCCGCGCAATGCGTTTCCCCGGCGCCCCGCCTCCCCGGCACAAAGCGAAGGAAAGGGGCCGGGCTGAGGCCGAGCCCGCCCTCTCCCCGGCCCCCGATTGGCTGCTTCCGTTGTCCATCCAGAATCTATTTTTGATGGGGGGGGCTGCTACCCAGTCTGCCCTAGATCACGTTTGCCACCGGCAGCCAACCAGTCAAGCCCAAGTCGGCGGGGAAGTAGCGATTGGGGGCGAGTGAGCTCAGTCCCAGAGTCCCCGGTCCGGGTACCACCCTCCGCTCCGGGCCCGAAGCGGTATATCCTGCCCACCCCGGCCACCTCCCTCTCGTGGAAGCGGAGCGGCGGCCTCGCGGTAACACAGGCGAAATGTAGCGAGCCGGGGGTCGCGGCTGGACGCTCGCCTTGGCTGGGGGTGTGGAGGGGAGCACGCCAGGGGCCGAGGAGGACTGCCGAGGAGGAGGAGTGATGAGAAGAGGGGGTACCCTGCATCCCCCGAGACCACGGGTCCTTTCTGCCATTCGCCAGGCGCCCCCTTTCCTCCCATGCGAGGTGCAGGTCAGTTCTGGGTCTTGAGGGGTGAGTGGCGGAGGGCGGGAGCCCTGGCGCGCAGCGCATTTGCTGAGTCTGTGTCTTGGGGAGAGGCGGGGGAGGCCACCCAGTTGCTTCTCCCCCTCCTTGGGTTGGGGGATACTAAAATGGGGCTTCCTGTCCCCGCCTGGGAGGAGGGAGTAAGGCGTTCTGGTTCACTTTGCTTCTTTCATCCCATTCTTAGGCCTGTCTGAAGTCTCTTTACCAGGAGGAGTGGGGTGAGGGACTGGCTTCCCTTCCTGAGAGCCCTCTTTCAGGTTGAGTCGCCTGTCAAGGAGACGCGATGAGGGAAGGAGAGGTTGGAGTACATAGGACTCAGAAACTTTTCTGCCCAAGGGCAGTGGCAGCTCGTCTGCTCAGAGGTCTCCTTCTGGATGTCTAGTGAGAATTCTTTGAAAGAACCCCAGTGCTGTGTTTAAGGAGATTTTAGAAAACGGAGTGCTGGCGGGTGACTGAGTTGATAGAATGAGAAAACAATTCCTATAGGCCAGTTACTGGGGTTTCTTCTAGCCCTTCCCAAAGTGGAGTTGACTAACTGTGTGTTCAGAATACTTAAGGGCCTGTTCATCCTACCTAGGGAAATCTGGGGAAATTCTTGCTCTTTTTTTTTTTTTTTCCACTTGTAAGAGCTATTCTGGTGAATAGGATGGGACTCAGGCCCAGGATTCCTTCAGGCAAGAAAACTGGGGCCGTTCCATCTAAAGAGACATGCGTGGGTTTAGGCTTGTGTGTTTTTGTTGTTTGGTTTGTGTTTTGTTCTGTTTTAAGAGTTCCACTATACCCAACTCTCAGTAACCCTGGGGAACAGGGGAGCCTAGGGAACAGAAATGTGTGGGTAATGTCAATTGTTGTGCCCTCTTTCCCTTCAAACTGCGGTAACTCCCTCATCCTATGTGACCAGCTCATAGGGCCAGGAGCAGGGGGAGAGAAGAGGAGACGGAGGCCTGGATCCCAGTCAGCATCTGAGCTTTTTGTAACACTGTTGACTCTCAAGGGCAGGAGTGGGTAGGCCTCTGGCTCTTGGCGTTTGTCTGGCAAGCCCCACTGCCCGGGGAGTCCTTCTGGGTTTTTTTCTTGGGATGGGCATTTGGGGGTCTGGGGGTCTTCACTCAATAGATTCTCCCTGTTAATTTGCCCTGTGCCATTGTCATACTGTTGCTTATATCTTGTGATACGAACAGCCACCTTCTATGGTGGCTCTGTGGCAACGAATTTGTGACTGAATGTACAACTGACCCCACTGGGAGACCACACTTAAAGGATCCTGGGTTTGTAATGAGCTTCAAGAAGGAATCTCCCTCAGAACATTGCCCCCTGTCCCCTGTTGCTGAAAAGACAATGTACCAAATCTCCTGCACAGCGCTCCCCAATCCAGGCTGGTCCCGCTTCTTGCTGTTGATCATTGTTGGTCACGCTCCTTGCTGTTGATCCCTGTGGGCTAGTGGGTTGTTGGTTGGAAGGATGGTGAGGAGAGCATCTGTTGGGCCTCCAGATGTAGCAGTGCAGGATAGATGGGGCAATAGTGCAAGATAGGTAAATTGGAAAGAGGGAGGCAAAAAGGTAAGTATGCCTTTTGGCGGAGAATTCTCCCAGTATAAGCTGTACTTTGCTGTATCATAACCTTCACTTTCCTGTCTTCCTCCTTCCTCCATAAGGTGTTCCACACAGGTTCCTGTGACTTTAAGGACCAGCGATTTGGGGAGGTACAAGATCTTCCCAGGCAGGGAGGAAATCTCTGGAAGATTCTGCCCTGGGACCAGCAAAGCCTGAGGAGCAGTGGGAAGCCCAAGGACCCCAGCAACAAGAGTGGGAAGGAGCCGCAGCGCCAGGCTGAGGTTGTGTTCTGAAAGATTGAACTCAAGCTACTGTTCGTGGAAGAGGGGCCACCTCAAAGGGTACCTCAGACTTGGCTGGGCTTTTCTACTCTGGATGCCCCCTCCTCTGAGGAACCTGCTGCTGAGAACCAAAGATAAGAGGCCAGATAACTCTCCCCTGAGCACAGCATAGGCCGACTGGAGTCAGACGTCTGCACTCCTAGTGGCTGGCCACTGTGTCTGGTGAGGAGTTCTTGTTTCCTTCCAGCTTGTGGCTTCAGTGCTTGATGGGGCTGCCTGTTGGTGGATCAGCTTTTGCAGTGCCTGGTGGGAGCGGAGAGCTGTGGGAAGAGGTTCCACGGCACCCAAGCCTGAGCTCACCCCGAGACTAAGTTCTTTTCCAAGTTAGAGAGGGAGAGAGAAAGTGAAAAAAGAGAGGAGAGTGCCCCCTTCCCCTCCTTCCTACCCGTCATGTCCTCCAAGCCAGAGCCAAAAGACGTCCACCAGCTGAACGGTACTGGCCCCACTGCCTCACCCCGCCCTGCAGATGGCCCCGGGCGAGAACCCTTGGCCGGGACCTCGGAGTTCCTGGGGCCTGACAGCACTGGGGTCGAGGTGGTGGTGATTGAGTCTCGGGCCAACGCCAAGGGGGTGCGGGAGGAGGACGCCCTGCTGGAGAACGGGAGCCAGAGCAATGAAAGTGACGACGTCAGCACGGACCGTGGCCCCGCACCACCCTCCCCGCTCAAGGAGACCTCCTTTTCCATCGGGCTGCAAGTGCTGTTTCCCTTCCTCCTAGCAGGCTTTGGGACTGTGGCTGCCGGCATGGTCTTGGACATCGTGCAGGTAGGACCTGAGTTGGGCAGCTCTTGACTGGGGGCCCAGGGCCGCCTTTTCCTCCTGGCAGATGAGGACTCTCGGAGCTTTCTCTCCACATCAGAAACAGCTTCTCCTAGAATACTGTTTACCTTTGGATCATGTGCTCAGTTTCTTCTTGGTCTGGTTACTTTCTACAGAATCCTCAAGGAAGCTGAGTTGCCCCGGCGAGGTGGTCAGGGTGGTATTGCTTGACAGAAGTAGAACGGGTTCCAGGGCCCAGGCTTGGAAAAGGAGAGATGAAGAGGGTGGTCGTCTGCCCACCCTTCTGGGCTTTCCTACATTTAGACGAGTTTCCTCTTTATGCTCTCTTTTCCCTTCACTTGGGGTTTCAAGGATACCCATAGTAAAAAGCTCAGTTTCAAGTCTCCCCTCCATCTCCCTGCTGGGCAGGAATTTGCTCCGCTGCCAAGAGGGTCTCAGATGAAGTGGGAAAGCTATTAAAGGCATTTCGTGTTGCTTATCTGACTGTAACCTTGGCATGATCTCCTTAGGGGGTGGGGATGGGCACATGCTGTCTGATCCATGATTTGGGGCCTTGATTTAGGTGTGACAAGACCTATATGTGCTAATTATGTGACATAATTGACAAAATGTAACCAGGCCTGGACAGAACTTCTCTTTGCTTATCACCTGTCTTTGGGCAGAGAGAGCTCTTTGTGAGGCTAACATAGAATTAAAGGTAAGAATTGGCAGACCTGGAAGCTAAGAGGCAGAGGACATGCTGTGTTGGTGTATTGTGGTTTAGAACCTCCAGGTCCAAGAGGTAGTTAAAGTCTTGTGTCCATGTAAAAGTTTTTGAAGCTCAATAAGGCATGCAGAGCTTTCTGAAGGTGTAGGGTTCATCAAAGGTAATCAGTAGAATGTATCAAATTCCTGCCAAGTGCTGGGCTCTGTCCTAGGTACTCGGAGAAACATAGAGGCAGGAGGCGATCTGGCCTTTGCCCTTTGGGACTCCACAGTGTGTCCCTAACCATGAAACCTCTCAGGAAGAGATGGAGCTCAGCATGATGTCCCCTGTGCCAGGCCACCCCTACAAACACTGCAGGTAGTAATGCAGTGAGTCATGGCGGGTCTCACCATGCCCATATCCCAGGGGGACTGAAGGTGGCTGGTGCTAAGTGGTCCCTTCGACAGTATCCACCTGGACCACTTTGACTTGAGCCTTCAGGAGAGCTCTGCCCTTTGGTTGCTAATGAGGATGGAGTTTATGACATGCCAAAGTGCCTTATACTGCTTCCCCTCACCCCTAGACTGTTGTCAAGAGAATTACTCCTGCATGGAGGTTAGGAAGCCAGCCTGGAGCTGGGAAGATGGGCTTTGAATTCCTCCCCGCACGCTACCCCTTCTTCCGAGGAGGAGAAATGGGACTGAGGTGGCAGTTTCTCCACCTCTTCCATCCCTCTCCTGTGGCCTTGGTTCTCATTCTTAGAATTTGTGAGTTCTGGTTTGGTGCCTACATAGGGTACAGAATCAGGGTCTGGTGGTGAGCTGGGAGAGAGTTGTCTTATTTCCTGGGTAATAATAATGGCAGTGGGGAGCATTTATCGGGTCCCTCTGTATGCCTGTGAGGTAGGAGTCATAATCATCTCTGCTTTGTAGATAGGTAACCTTTGGTTTAGAGAGTTAGGTAACTTGTCCCTGGTCATCTGACTCCAGAACCCACACCTTTCACTTCTGTGGACTTCACCATGGCCATGACTCACCAGGTGGTTGAAGAATCTGGGATGAGCTGCTCTCTTGTCGTCCCCTAAAAAGCAAGGTAGACTGGAATCTAGAACAATCCAAGTTATCTTCTGAAGTAAGCAGGAACCAAAGTTCTTAGAGGAGGGGCGCCTGGAGACTCCACCCCACACACTCAGAAAATTCTAAAGTTGGAAAAGCCCTCTGACATCTTGCCCCAAGGCCGTTCCATGCCCATGAACCTGAGACATTGAGAGGCCTAAGGAGGGAACACAAACCTGCCCGCCATGCCACAGCATTTGCCTTCTGTGTGGCATTTAGGTTCACCTCAAAGCTAGGGTTCAGTTAGTATGGGTAATAATAGCTGGTTTGTCTTTCTGCCCCTCCCCAGGCCCTGCAGATGGCTCCAGTAGTATCATGGGAGGGTATGGGTGCAGAAGGACCAGGACATGGGAGGTTCTTATTGCACATCCAGGGGAGTGAAAAGGATGAATCACAATCCTGGACTCAGGAAGAGCAGGACAGTTTCTAAGGAGCCATACCTATATTACCCTTCCACAAGCTAAGATGGCCTTCAGTGGGACAGAGAGTCAGGGGTTGCCTAAAGAAACTGGGGCTGTCTGGAGTGAGTGTCTCCAGTGTCTTGGAGCCACTGAGCAGAAGTCCATGTTGGCTGTGGTTCAGATGCCTCCTTGGTCTAGGGCCCCCAGCTCTCCCCTACTATTGCGGAAGACCCCTCTCTTCCTGCAAAGCCTATTTCTGTTTTGTCTTATCTGCCCTCCTCTCCACTCAACATGTACAGCCAACTGAGGCAGCAAGATAAGGAGCCGGTGTACTGGCCAAAAGTGGAAGGTAAATGGACTGCATTCGACTGCAACTTCCCCAGCATGGCCCGAAGTTCCTGTGGCATTGGGAGGGAAAGCGAGATTGGGCCAGCTGGTGGGCCCAGTTGTCCTGGGCTGCTGCAGGACATCTAGCTCTCCTTTCCTGCCAGCCTTTGTGAGGGGTGGGAGTGGTAGGGGGTGGTGTGCAGACCTTCACCAGAATTCTCAGCGACCTTAAGACGAATAGTACTCCTAAGTCCTTATTTTATTTTTTTTATTATATTTTAGATGAAGGTTTGCAGAACAAACTACCTTCTCGTTAAATGATTAGTACACATATTGATTTGTGACATTGGTTGCCAACCCCACGACATGTCAGCACTCTCCCATTCTTGACCTTGGGTTCCCTGTTACCAGCTTTCCTGTCCCCTCCTGCCTTCTAGTCCTTGCCACTGGACTGGTGTGCCCCTTTAGTCTCATTTAGTTTTACGGGCCTGTCCAGTCTTTGGCTGAAGAGTGAACCTCAGGAGTGACTTCATTACTGAGCTAAAAGGGTGTCCGGGGATCCTAAGTCCTTATTTTAACTTGCTAGTCACTCGCCGGGGATCCCAAGGAAAGTAGACCCTCCTCCCCCAAACATACTCCTGGCTCCTCTGTCCTGCTGTGTGCGTGGAAGAGTCTACAAAGATGAAAGTGGACAGCACGTTGGGGGCTTGGATCGGGAATGGGAAAGAAGCATTCCTCTCACGGGTGGTCTGCCCTCGTGGCTGCTGGGCTCCCTGGGCAGGATGTTCAGGTGTGGTCTCACTTGACCATCCTGTCTACTCTTCACGTCTCTGGCCCCTGCTTGCTGTCAGGAACCTGTTTGCCTTGGTCACGCGTTGACAGCCTTATGCAGTACATCCAAGTGTTGCCCTCGGGCCTTTCTCCTTGGACACCTAGAGGAGGCCTAGGTGAGAAGCCTCAGACACGTGAAGGCTGGGCTGACTCAGATCCAACCTGACCCAGTCCTCACCCTGGAAGGTCAGCTCTAGCCCAGTTTCCCAGCTTCTCTGCAGCCCAGTGCTTACAGCTTGTACATCTGGACATTTAAGTCATCTTGATTGATGTCTTGATTCCATTTCTTCGTGTCAGTGACTTTCTTCCTTGCTGTTGCCTCCCAGAGTGCAAAAGGCTCAGACTGGAACCCTTGAGGGTAGCTGGGGTCAGTGTGTGTGTGTATGTGGGGGGGGGGGGGCTGGAGAAGGTGAAGGAAGGAAGAGGCAGGTTGGAAGGACAAGAGGTACCAGCAGGGTAACTGAGGTGTGAGGCTTAGGGTGATTGCTGTGAAGGAGGGTTGGTTTTGAGTGTGAAGGAGCAGTCTCATCCCTCAGCCCCAGAATCTCCGTGGCTAATGAGCTTCCCAAGAATAAAGTAAGAAGAGGAAGAAGAGCTGTGTTTTCGAGAAGCAGTAAAAAAAATCTGTCAATGCCCGCCACCCGTTCTGGGCAGCGCTTCCTGAAACGTGCCCTTCTCCATCCCCAGCAGAGCGGGGAAGGCGTGGGTGGCAGCTTGGCTTGGCTTGACTTCAGGGGCAGGCACTCCCAGCCGAGAGGATGGGCCTGAGTTATGCTAAAGGAGGAAGAAGAGGCACTCACTGTCTGCCCCTGCCTCACTGCCCACTCCTTGGCCTCAGGGCCACCCTGGTTCCACATCACCGGCCTCCCAGCATTTCTTCCCCAAGTCGTGTGTGTGTGTGTGTGTGTGTGTGTGTGTGTGTGTGTGTGTGTGTGTGT